GAAGAGCGGCCACGGTTCATCCACCTTGCCCGAGAGCTTTGACGGCAAGACCAACAAACCCATCCCCAAACCCCGCATCAACATCCGCAAATCTGTAAGTATCGCAGCCGCACAACTGCGTTGCTGTTTAAAGGGAAAATCCATCCAAAAGTCACTTCACATCCCCTGGTGTTTTTGTTCGTTTAAAAGGTGAACTGATGACTTTGCAAGGCTGATATTCAACACAGGACTATTTTAGTAAAGAAGAACAGAAACATTATATTTTGTGATGGATTTTCACTTTAGCCTCTGATGTCACCTCTCACTTTAAACTCTTGAACTCACATGTAGCTTTTCTGTATCTGCTTCTAATCCTAACCAGCGTCCCACTAACCCATTCTCACTCACATCTGTTCATAACGTCCATCCCTCTCCTCCAATTCTGCCCCGTCTCTTATCCCTGTGCATTTACATGATTTCAGCTCTCAGTGCGGTTTACTGGGATTATCTTGGAAACCTTGTGTTTTGTACGTATGAGTCTCGGCCCAGCGGAGGATGTAGCAGAGGTGTAGGTGGATATTGTGATCTGTGAAGTGTCCATTCGGTCTTGCTGTCCCTGTAGTCTCTTGCGCACTGGGCTGATTGATGAGGCCCGTTTGCCCCGGGGCCCCGGGGAGGTTTGCTTGGCTTGTGTCATTCTGTGTGAGAGGGAGTGTGTGTTTGTGTGTACGAAGATAAAGGATCCTCATGTGGAGGACTCCTACATGCTGCAGCCTTGCATGGAGAGAACAAATTTATTGACATTTCAGTCCAACAGATCCTCGTCAAAAGAGCTGTAGTTTGCAGAGGCCTCTGATGGAGTTTAGGTATGTGTCAAGAGCATAGAATCTGCAGACAGCGTGTTTGATGTTGGTTCATTCAGGGTCCTCAAAGCTGCAATATACCTTTTTTTGTTCAGCTTGTTTGGTAAAATCCAAACAAGCAATTTCACTGTATTTTAGCAGCAGTACTGTAGTGTTTCAGGAAGTTGATGATGACTGTGATACAATTCAATGTGATGTTTCTGACCACAATAATTGTAGAAAGAAAATTTGAAACCAGACCTCCCTCCCAGTGACCTCAGCGCCTTCATACATTACTCTGTAATTTGATCACATAGTGTAGCCTTGCATACTCAAACCTTTGAGGCAAATCTCAACACAGACCCTGAACAATCTGTACCAATAAAGTGCTGCTGTTTGATCCCCGAGTCTCACATTCTGTTATAAATTTCTGAGTATGGCCTTTAGCAATGTCTCCTTCAACCACAGCGTCACAAAGTCTATCTGTAAACCTGTTGACCTCCCATTAACACCCAACAGAGCTTTAAAATAGTCTCACTAACTCACGTTACACACACTTCCTTCCTCCACCAACACACATCAGCTGGCGCAGCGGCACATGTGTGCCTGAAGGACCAGGTATAGAGTTACAGTGGCTGCTATATCAGTGTGCTTCAACCAAATTGAAGTCCCTTTAAATACTGTGTGTCACTGATGAAAGAGACAGCGATGGAGGGGAATGGGTGGCTTTGGAGGGATGGTCTCACTTTTTAAAATTAGAGCGAGACGATGAGGAGATATTGAGAGAGAGCAGAGAAGATGCGGTTTGTGTATTCGCTCTCCTCCTGTGTGTGTGTTTATGCAAAGCTCGTGTGCGGTCGTGTTGCCTACAGAGATGATGGACGATACACACAATCTGCTGACTTGGCTACCATTACATTAACCATTAATTGCCTTTTTTCTGCCTGTGTTCACATGTCTGTGTGTGTATGTGTGAGATGTAGTTAATGACTTGTGCTGTGCAGCAGGGCACAGATACTGCAGGATTCACTTAATATTCCTGCCACCTGCCAGCCATAATCTCCATCCTGCAGCACCTCTGAAGCCCCTAGGCTTTAAAATACTGTGGCTTTGTTTCTCTGCCCACAAGTATCCATTTCTCCACACCCTCCCATAAGCATTTTTATGTTGTGTGTGTAATTTGAGTACATCTGCTTGTGAATTTCCTTCATCCACTTAACTTGTCCTTATGAGTGTGAACGTGTCTGATACGACTCTTTTGTCTTTGATCAGCATGTTACTGTAATTTGAGTGTAGCTTCAAAGTAGTTGAATTACATGAGCCTAACCATGTATGATTGACTCTTACAATTCTGTTTCTCAAAGTGAGTGAAAAAGCCTGCCAGTGGTGTGAAACCAGTTCGTTTCCAAGCAGCTGATTCATTTGGTCTAAGAGCCAAAGATTGTACTTAAATTTTTTTCTTTCTTTAAAAACTGTAGGAGGAGCTGAAACTTGACTAGAACCCATTTGGCCTCACTGGCAGAATTCTTCATGAATTTGGAGAAACGTGAAAAAACCGAGTGTGACTTATGAAGATGTTTGCAGAGCGACGTTCTGTACAGCTGCTGTGTCATATTCATCTTGCTGGGAGTGTCGTTGCCGTGCAGGAGTTGCTATATAAATGTGCCGTAACGTGGCCTACTCTGGCTTGAGTTGTGCCGTTTTGCAGTAATGCTGCCGTCCCACACTGTTGCCAGGGCGATGAATTTGCTGCCATGTTGTTGCCATGGTTTTTGCTGTGGTTTTGGAGTGTTGTTGCCGTGTGTCTCCTCTTGTCACTGTTGTGGTTTTTGCCTCGCTGCTATGGTGTTTTTGGTGCACTTTGACCTCTATATGACCTCTGCCCCTGTAGGTCATCATGCCCCCCTCCAGCCGCTGGTCACTGGGCCACATTTACACCCCTCACCGGCCTCCTCTCCACCCTCCTCTTCCTCCCCCTCGACTCTTCCATCTTCCTCACAAAGCTCAGTCTCAGGTCCTCCACGCTTTTCCTTCTCTTACCTTTATTTCTTCACGGTTTTTCTTAGTCGAAGAGAAAGCGCCGTTTGTAAGTGCTTCCATTTTATCCTGTCGCTTTTATTCAATTGCATCCTCGTGTGTTGTGTTTGTGTCTCACTCTTCAGTTACTACCTCAATGTGCAACCGTTAGTAGTGTTACTATTAAAAAAAAGACGCGAGAGTTCAGTCAGCCTTGCAGGGCTAACCCACTTTGTCTTACGGCTAATACAGAGCTGAAGTGCAAACCCCAACCTTAGTGCCTCAGTCAGTTTTTATGTGCCCCAGTGCCTTCTTAAAGATCAATGTGCAATTGAAGTATCAGAACCAATAAACAGAACCTCAAAGTGTTTAAAAAATCATGACTACAGTCCATGCATTCACTCGTTGAATGCTCACAATGAGCTTTTGGTAATGATCCCCACTCTTCCTCAGCGTTTTCTGAAAAACAAAGCAGGTGAGTTTTTAAAGGGTCGTTAGAAGAATGCTCAACCCAAGCATACACACAGAGCTGAGAAATGATTCAAATGTGTGATTAATTCCTCTTGCAAGTAGCATGTTTTGCATTGACTGATTACTGGTGTCACTGCAGCATTACTTCAGGTTCCTATGTTCCTTCTGTAGAAAGTTGCCAGGGTGCTGATATAAAACTTGTTTTGCAGGCAGACATAATTCTGTCAGTGGGTTCATGTAAGGTTGATGAATTTGAGCCCAGGGAAGCTCTGGATGAATTCTTTACTAAGCATGGTGGGTGTTGTGCTGCTGGGAGACTGAAAGTGTGTCTGATTGTGCATAGTCCTGTAACCCCATAACATGATTATAAGGTGTGTGTGAGAGAGAGAAAAGACAGAATTGGATTAATGCACTATTTTATATACTGATGGAAGCAGTGTGTTGACAGAAGATTAGTGAAATATGGCTCTGTTGGTGTTTGCAGAACAGATCTTTAATGCATTTGATATATTGTTTTAATTATTATATACATAAGCAGAGTGCAAGGACAAGTTTAGTCTTCCACTGTCAAAGCTGCAGCACTCACAGTCAAGTCCCCCGTCCCCTGAAATCATTTGAAAATAAACCAGTAGATTGGAAGAAAAGCACCCTCAGCAACAAAATCCAGTCACTTGATTGGCTGCCGTGTGTTTATTTTTGAGAGCATGTTTGCTACTCAGCTTTGAAGCTACAGTAGCAGACACAGTGCCCTCTTCTTTGAAATCTAAATCGCTGGGCTGTACAGGAAGTGACTTCTACATCTACAGTACAATTTCAATGATGCAAGGCCATCAGGATGTTGCTTCCATGTGCCCTGCTCATCTTTATCTCATTTCCCCAATACTTGACTTGGTTTCCATTACATTACACAGCACATTCATTCCACCATCACTTTATCATCATCAAACTGAATTAGACAATTGTACAAAATACAGATTTTTAAAAACCAAGAAACAGCTGTCTGCATTGATGAATTATTTGATTTGAAAACATGCATCCTACAAAGTCTATACAGTAATAGGTTGTCAAAAGTGAATATGTTGGTCACAGGAGCTATTTTGGCTGTGTTCTACTTCTCTCCTCGTTTTCCTTTTTTTAAAATGGTTTTCTTCTCTGTCTCTGTGTCAGATGGAGCAGCCAGACCAGAAAGGCCACGCCAACGTGCCGTGGATTGTGGAGCCCGGTCAGGAGGCGAAGAGAGGAGTCAACACCAAGTACGAGACCACTATTTTCTAACATACACCTGCCTTGTCCACTCCTGTGTGTGTGTGTGTGCCTTTCAGAGGTTGCCCTGTACTGGGGCCCTGCCCCGGAGTTGGGCACGAGCGACCGTGTCGCCTCACCGGCTGAAAACTAAAAACAAAACATCCCGCCCCGCCCCCCGTTAGCCAAGCCTGTCTGCTGCATGATGACATTTGGCGCTGCTCTCTCTCTCCTTCCCTCTTTTGTTTCCGCCGTCCCGGGTCCCATCTTCCTGCCTGCGGGGCTGGCGCATGACCTTTGAACCCTGGGCTGCAGTGCACCTCTGTCTCCACCTGTAGGGGAACAGGCAGCTTAGTTTATTCACTTCCTGTTTGTCAGCCAGCCAGCAGACAACTAATTTGTTATTCTGCCTCCCCCTGCCCCCTTGTGTTGACGGGTGTAACCATTTGGCTGTGTCTCTCTCCTCCAGCTGCCTCCATCGCTCAGTATTCTCTACACTTCAGCCCCTCTGTCCAACTGCCCCACCAGCTTCAATGTAATTTGAAACCAGAAAATTACGAAGTGCATTACTTTTACTGAAGAAAAAAAAATTGGAGGATCTGATTTTGGAATTATGACTGTCTCCTAATTATGAGATAATGCAGGGATTGGAATGGTGCAGAACCTGTCTGAGAATCATCAGGTTTTAAAGAATTCTTAAGTAATTCAGTGACAGTTGTCAGTACATACAATAGTACACAACTAAAGTGAACTCTAGTGTAATTATTGTAGCACAACAGAGCCCAAGCTTTTAACATTTAATGCAACTGTTTCCAAAAAACACTGATATTTAAAGCTCATAATCATTATGTAGATAAGCTATATAGGATCTAGACAGTTAAATCAGGTAGCCTGTAATGCCTCCGTCTTCTCAAATAATGTTTACTGATAACCACTGTAAAAGGTTTTACTAAATCCTGATCTTGTAATTATGAGAAAACATTTAACAGTACATGTTAATAAGCATCACTTGTGTGAATAGATATAAACTGACAAGAAACGAAGTATAAGCTACACTGTTCCATTGATGCAGTGTGTTAATGGGTGCCATTCGTAGCAAATATTTGTTTATGCTTTGGATCAGTAAGTACAGCAACTTAACTAGCAGCAGTAAATTTTTGGTATGTGTTAATATTTTTGGCTGTATTAACAGAATTACAAGAATACTGAAGGAAAAACTTAAACCCAGCACTTCTCAAGCAGGTTCGGAATGCTTTCAAACTGCTCAGTACATGTACATATATATTGAGTTACAGTGTCACCTGCAACATGGGCTCCTTTGTTTAGCCAATATGTGTTTACAATTTGGAACACCAAGTACGCTGAATTAGCAGTTCACTTTTGCTCATACTTGTACCATCAGTGAATTACTTCAATACTAAAGAATTCTTTCAAACGATTTTCAGGCAAGTTCTGCAGCATTCCAAGCCTTGCATTATCTCACAGTTAGGCAAAAGTTAGTTGGAATTGCAAGAAAATCGTCCAATTAGTTTTTTCTTTGGCTAATGCTGTGTGCTTTGCAGAAAACTGCTAATAGCTGTAACAGTGTTTTAGCTGTCTGTTGAGCTCAGCATGGGGCGCTGACATTAAGGAGGGATAATGTCTGACATGGCAAATGGAGGAAGTTCAGATTTTTTTAAACATTTTTTTAATCAAAGAGGAGAGTTGATGTAGCACATTCTAATTTGGACAAACTGGTTCATCCAGCAGGCTACTAGAATGTAAACTTTTTGATTCTTTATATCAGATTATTTTTTTGAAAATACTAACTGTAAACTTGACCTGTGACACAGGAGGATGTAGGTGATATTTTGCTTCTGTAGGACCTTTTTCAGCACGTGCGTGTGTATATTTTCAGAATTATTTTAATCACTTGGATTTTTCCTTGGCCGTGATCAATATTTTATTTGGGGAAAGAAGTTCTTGTGTGTAAAGGTTTAGCATGTGGCCTGTGAGACGCATGGTGGCCATTTTGGATTTGCTGAGCAGGGGGGCCGGTGGAGAGGCGGGGTGTGAGGGCTATCTCGATAAGTGATGTCATCTCATTTGCAGGGCAATGCCGGACGCTCATGTCTATTACTGTGGAATGCAAAGAATGTAGCCAGCCCTAAACACGGACCTTGTCACACATACAATGCAAACGGACTACAAAGGACTGCAAACATGGATGCCACTTCAGTGTTTAAGGTTGACTACAGAAATATTTATCCACATGATGCTTGACACAGTAAACACTGAACCAACAGACAGTGACATACACTAACAGGACTGCATCTCGACAGACGGTCTGCTCTGAATGTACACTTATTTGAAAGCAGCCTCAACTTTCTGCAACGACAGCAAGACCTGTTTTATGCGCCAAACGGGGACACATGACCTTTGAACTTGGGAGGTTACAGGGCATCTGTTGGTAAAAGACACCAGAGGGCGTCTGGCTGGCTCTTTGGTCTTTTTAAAGGATAACTGGGTTTTTTGAACCTGCTGCATTTCCCCTAAAAGTGCATATGGTGACTACGGCTCGTGCTAAGTTTGTTACCACTGCCTCGATTTTTGGGGAGATGAGAACTTTCGTTAAAATGTCATCACCGGGGCAACCAGTTAGCCTCCAAGAAGCTCCAGAACAAACATAATTTCAGTCAAATCATTTCTCATGCTTATCTCCGAGTCAGAAAGAAAGCACATATAAAATATAACCATCAAGGGTGGCCATTACTGCTACCTGCATAGGACGATCACCAGTCAGCCAGCAAGTTGACCCAGATATATATTCCTATGCAGTTATAGCTTGGTTGCCCCAGTGACACCTTTTAACACAACTTTTCATTTCTCTAAATGTCTACAATGGTAGTGATAGCAAAATGATCAGCTCTAGAGTCACCAAACCCACTTTTAGGTGAAATGCAGCAGGTTCAAAAAAACCAAAGTCATCCTTTAAATAAAGAAAAAACAGAATATATGCACAAGCGCATAAATGTGACTGGACTAGCTGTAACACTTCAGATGCAACAACTGTGTCTTGGATGGTGAACCTATGTGAAGAAACCTGCATCTGACATTAAAAAAAAAAAAGTATTCTATAAGTATTGCCCGACATTTTAATGTTTAATATGAGAGTATTATTACATGATGATTATTCTTGTGCAACTCTTGCCTACTGTTGTCTTAATGTTATATTATTTTTATATGATATGCTGAGATGAAACCTTGGGCTTGAGAATAATGTCCATCCTTTAAAAGAATCTAGATGATCATACTTGTACGCAGAGTGAATGTTGCAGGTGGCTAGCTAACTCTTGTCAGGTCAACCCTCCATCATTTCTCATGGGGCTCTACTCTTATCTAGCAGATGTACTATTTTAAACGCAGTATTACTGTATTTGGATGACACATCATCCAGTTATAAAATGTACATAGATATTTTGCCAACTCATTGTTCATACATGTAAAAGAATAAAGCATTTACATGGCACTCAAATCAAGGTACCAAAATAAAGGTTGGATATTTAACAACAGCTGGTAGATTGTGAGATGTATTTTGAGTGAAATGGATTATATGGTGACATCAATGCTGACCAACTAATGTACATAGGCTTGGGCTTCCAGCACACTGATTTTTGTAATTTTGGCCATTATTTATATCCTTGTAAAGCACATGGAATAAAATACGACTTCTACAACCATTATTTATCCTCAAGATAGTTTTCTTTTCTTTTCTCAACTACATAGAGATGTTTTACAAAATCTGAAAGGATAATTGGTTACAACTTGTCCTGTTTGCTGTAGTTTATTTGTTCTGATAAAGTTGTACTTGCCAAAGTAATTGGAGAATTGTGGGAACACATCAGTACAAACGAGACCAGAAAACACTGGTCAGACAATTAGACCAGTTCTCAACAAACCTAAAGTTTAACTAACCAAGGGCTGCCACTTTATTTATTTATACGTTTTTTTTTGGAAAAATAAATAAATAGATAAAAATCACATTTGAACTGACATGAAATTCGTTTGAATTCAAATGCAAGAAAAAGAAAGCTTACATGATGTATTTAGAATGTGTAGCCAACATTTGGACCCACCGGACTTCTTCAGGGCAATGTAGAACAGTCAGGCGAGGCTGTAGAACGGCTGCTGCTCCAATGGTCTGTGATAACATTAACTTTGGTAGCAGGATTGCAGCTGAGTTTGTAAACCATTTACTGCGACACAGCTCTGGTGTTATCATTGTCCGATCAGCGCGACTTTGCTCGCTACTCTCCTGCATTTTGTCCTTGTAAACAATGTTACTAGCTTACTATACTGAGAGGTCAACAAGACGTAACTCGTCATGCTGACAGCAAATGTTAGGTACGTCCTCTATTGGACCTCAAGGCAAATTACATCAAATGGCCTGGTGCGCTTATTGACATAGTGTACATTGTTGCACTCGAGCATGTCATTACTGTCCAAATTGTGTTTTTACCACATTCAAACAAATGTTTCTAATAAAGTGACAGCCCTACTAATTCTTATTATTCTTCAGTTAATTGTTTAGTCTACAAAATGTCAAATATCTTTTTCCTCCATTTTTGGGTGAAAAAAGTTATTTGACATTGTCACTCAGAATCTCGGTATTTTGTAGAGTAAACAATTAATAGACAAAGATTATAATCCGTTGCAGCCCTTGGTTGGCTAAACTTTACCAACCAAAACATTCAGGTTATAAAAATATATAACAGAGAAAAGCAGAAATCTATAAATTGTTTAGAAGCAGAAAACTATTTTGTCATTTCAAAATAGTTGGTAATTAAGTAAGTAGGAAGTCTAAAAACTGATGGTCATACTGAGGCTTTATACCCGTCTGTGTGTCTTATGACACTGCTGCATCCCCACATGTCAACAATTAATTTGGTGTGTACAATCACTGCTGATACAACCAAAAGTCTAATTAAACGTTATTAACCAGAGTATCTTCAGTTTTTGATTTTACAACAGAACAAATGTATCTGTAATTCTGTTCATTAGCAGAACCAGAACTAGCTTGTATTTGTGAGTGTTTTATAGATAATTCTACAAAATCTACTGCCATCTGTGGTCAGAATCGGAGCCATCAACTATCAATCTAACCTTACATACAGCAGTGAGTACCACATACCTCGTGCTGGACCAGTACTTGGCGGTGATGTCGTCATAGCTCGCATTCCCTCCTCCAGACCCAGCACCTGAAATGAAACACACAAAGAATGGGTATTCTGCACAATTCAAATAATAAAGCAGCAAACAGAGAATTGCTTGTTTGCTGACTAATAAACTAAACTGTACCGACTCCTGAGGCTAATTATTTCATGCTGCTCTGAGGAGCAAACACATTCTCTCACACAGGAACAGCTTTTGGACTCCTGATTCAGCCTGATTAATAAATCAGCAGGGTATTGATCTCAGCACTCAAGGACAGAGAAACGAGTGGTGAAGCCTGGTGACGCAGAGGACGCCACTGGTTCTGGCAAATTGAATGTGAATAGGAAAGTCTTACTAATGTTCCAAATAAGCATAGCAGGGTTATATAATGTAACTTTTAAGTATTGGCACTTAAATAAATGGAGGTTTTTCCCTGTTCTCCTGCTTCCTACTTAAAGGCAAATACTGTTTTTTTTGTTTTTTTTACTCCATTATATGTATTTGAACACTTAGTAGCAACTTCTTAGATAAAAAGACTTTAGCTCCATCTAGAACAGATCCAACATTGTGATACACAATAATGCATCAGTATTTATAATCCAATAATACGATACATATTAATGTGCCATTCTGCATAATGAGCACGCTTTGATGCTAGTTTTGTACTTAACATTTTGGATACAAGACTTTTACTTGTAACAGTAGTATTTTCACTGTGGTATTGTTACTTCTACCTATGTAAAGAATCTGAGGACTTCTTCCATCACTGTATAAACCTGGATGGCATGATACAGTCAATATGATAGCTACAGGTCATGAATCATACTTTTCCTCATGTAAGTACCAGTAATATTTATTTAAAAACTAATCTATAAACAGGCTTATGCAATATAAACTGATGGGAGACGGCCACTGATTGTAGCTGATGATCAGAGGAGTGGTAAAACCTCTTCAAGCCCACACAAGTACAATCTGTTACTTGCTATTGCTAGACCATAACTCAGAGAGATCAGGGTACTTCGGCTCTGACAGAGAGGTCTGTGTTGGGTCAGCACTTTGCTGCTTTTTCATTTGGTCAATAAACTACCTTTGCTAGGCTCCACACAACCCAACTGACACTTTGATAAACCAGGCTGTAGTGTTATTAGTTTCCATGGTTACAAAATCCCTGCATAGTTTGACCCACAAGCATCTGTGTGATGTTGAGAAAGTGCAAAATATACATTCACACTGCCACGATAAATAGACAGAGCCATCACAGCAGCCCTTTATTGAAGATACTTTGCCATGCTATTGTAGAAGTGTCCACACTATGACACCTCTGCAGACACGATGCTTAGATTAATGCTATAAAATGACCAAAGCACAGACTCTGTTCCCTGAGTCTGAAGGAGCATATTTCACAGTCATGTTTCCAACCACTGAATGGGAGGCAGACAGATTGTGACAGGGAGGCTAAGACCCCGGACCACATCATAATCTTTCCACATTTCAGACAGACTGTGCACCTAGAGAGAAGCATGCTATCTGTCAAACTACAGCACCACCCTGGAATGGATGGATGGATTTCATCCATCACATCTCTTTCTTTTTTTATTAGATGCAAACTGAAAAAAGTGCACGTTTACATGAATGACATATTAAAGAAATTTAAACCTCAGATGTAGGCTAACAAATGAACAATTTATCAGCCATCAACAAACATGAGCCAACTGAACAGAACCATTTATGCAATAAAAAGCTATCAAACAAAGCAAAGCACTGCAGGATTTAATTAAACTAACATGAAGGGGCTGGCAGGGTTTGGGAGCTGGAGCCCCTCTGGCTGTTCTCACCACATGAAAATAGACTAGGATCTACAGCAGTGAAGCTGAGTGCATCTCAGGTCAACAGGGGCTACTGCAGAATGTACATTCAGGGTATTAGCAGCATCACGCACAGCCAGTTTTCACTTAAAACTGTCTAACACTAACTTAGAGTGTGGATTGAGCCACACATTTGTCTGACCCCAACAAACATATTGGGGTGGGCAATATATACATCATCTACGATAACATCTTAATTGTTGTTTTAACCTGTGGTGGAAGAAGAAATAAAATTATCTGTTACAAGTAAAAGTCCTTCATTCAATGTTACTTAAGTAAAAATACAAAAATATACTTCAGGTACTAAAAGTGCTCATTATGCAGAGTGGCACATTTCACACCAATGCATCTCACATCACATTTAATGTTGCAGCTGGTAAAGGTGGCTCTAAAGTTAACTACCTGATATACTTACAATTTGAAGTACTTTACATACTGCTAGGTAACTTCTGAATCTCCTACCAAGGATCAATAGTCTTAAGGTTTAACTGTATTTTGTTTTAGTAATCTGATTTTGATAAGTAACTAAAGTTATCAAATAAGTAAAAAGTGCAATATTTGGACTGTTATTGTAGTTACAATGAACACAGTGGCAACTCCTCTGTAGCGACATGAGACAGCTCATCACTGAACACCAACTCCAAGGCAATCATAAGAATCTCCAGTATTTGGAGCAAGTAACTCTTAAAATGAGATGTACCAGCAAATGGCTACACCTGCAGTTTTAATGTGTTCCATGCATATTTAATCAACACTCCATGTCTTCTGCTGCTCATCTCAAAACTGTGCATTTGTTTTTAATCCTTTCTAACTTCAGCTGTCTCCAATCATTAAAAGAATTAAAACTGATGCAGGATTTGAAAGGACTCTGATTTCATCAGTCCCAGCTCTACATGAAGGTTCATACAGCAAGTACTGTACATTATGCTCCACTTCTACTCCTCTCCACCACAGCAAGACGTACACCACTGGTACTCCTTTTACACACCAGCATGCCTTATAAAAATTTAATTTAAAAAAAGTGAAATACGTATTGAAGTAAGAATTACTGCCTGTGGCTGAATGTCTATTAAACTACAGTGGAGTGATATTTACACTGAGCCAGTGAAAAGCTGAACAAGCATTTGTCCCGAGTTATAAACCACTGAATGGCTCACATTCTGTTTGCAGGGTGGACAGTCACAATCTGCAGCCAATAGAAGCGACTACTGGGCTGAAAGGCCCAAGTGCTGCAGCTCAACACTTACTGCCAATCTGCTATCTGGTGCAGTCTGCTGAAAACTGACAAAACATTATTGTTTGTAAAAAAGCAGACCAGTGAGGAGGAGAGTGGGAGGTAATTTAACACATTTCTGGGAGATTAGACCAAGAGTCCATTTTATCTCTGCTGCTGGCAGAGGTGCAGGCACAGGACTTAGCTAAGCACAAAGAGGGACGATGAGGAGAGAATAACAAAGGAAAACAGGAACACATGCAGATTGTTTTGTGCAAGGAAATAACTGACAAGAGACTGCAGTTTTTCTGAACCAATTCACATTTAAAAAAAAGTCAGATCTGCTGATTGTGATTTTCTCTAAAAACTGACAGCATACACAGACATTTTTCTAACTTTTCTTTATTGAAACAAAAAGACTGCATTAAATTTTTACATTTCTGTTTCACTTTTTTTTTTTAAACCTCCAACTAAAAATGAAGCTCAATATTTGTGCATCTCCAAATATAAACAGGTGCAACAGGTAAACTGTAGAATGTCTGTTCCATCAGTCCTACTGAGCTCACAGTTCTTTCTGAAATGTGTGTAGTTTGTATTTGCTATATTTTACCACAGGTTGGATAGACTGTACATATACATGTATTTCATGTGTAGCCAGCAATTCCCTCATTGTTTATTATTTGTCAGAGATTTGGACGTAGTTCTAGTTTTCCAAGGTGTTTCTCTAGGCTCCTCTAGCTCCTCTGTGTGTCGTTTGTACACCAAGTGCTACCAATGCGCCTTTGAACATGTGCCCGGTACACAAGCGTGAGCCTCGCTTGAGGTGCACGCCCGATGCTACATGCTGCACACACCATGCTTTTGGTCTGTGCCACTGTGTGTGTGAAGTGAACTGTCGTGGCTCTAAATCTGACTGGCACAGAATTGGAAATCTCAGTGTGACTGGCTGGTCGCAGGTCAAGGCCTATCACACTGAAAAACAGCCATTTCTGATCTCCGCATCTATAACTGATAATGATGGTTTGTTAACAGAAACTAAATTATTTAGATTCCCCGCTGTCTGTGAAGTGTATGGCAAGAATGTACATGCTTTGTTTCTGTCAAACTGGGCGAGAGGGCCAAAGTTGCAGATGGTGTAAATGCACTGCCCACTGCTGCCGGCTCAACGAGAGGGCTACGTTAAAAACTGTTCATGTAACAAGCACAATAATATCTGGCATTCATTCAATAGGAACAGCATCAACCAGAGAGCTGCTATCTAATGAACCCATGGACCACATTAACATCCATACTTTTTATCATGTATATCTCACACTTAAATCCACAGGTCTCCATCTCTGCTGTGCACACAGCCAAGAAATGGAAGGAGGCTCTGCAATGAGGAGCTAGTTCACAAAGACAATTTGCTGCATTTTGGTAAATGACTGGCTGAACACTAAACACTTGGCAGATGTGGTGCAACAGCACTCACACTATAATGGACTGAAACAGTCCCAACAGGAAACTGACTGGCTAGAAAATGGGTGATAGAGGAATAAACTGCCTCTGTGGTTTAACCAAAAAACATTTTAACAAAAGGTAAGTAACAAACAGATCTTGGCTTGTGATGTGCATCCTGATAAAGCTGGGCTCAGTGAGGCCAAAAATAAAAGATGCTATCTCTCTAATAGACAAACACATGAGCCTACATGCTCACAGCAGACTCCGTCTC